CTACAACACAGATGAACCTTGGAGAAATCATGCTAAGTGACAAAAAGGCAAATACTGAGTGGTTCCACTTATATAAGCTACCCAGAGTTATCCAGCTAATACAGAAGGAAAGTAGAATGCTGATTTCCAGGGGCCAGAGAGAGGAGAGAATGGGGAGTTACTGTTTCATGGGTACCAAGTGTCAGTTTGACAGGCTGAAGTGTTCCGCAGATGGGCAGTGGTACCGAGCGCATCCGAATGGTGGATTTTATGTTACGTCTATTTTACCACAATAAAAAAAAGAAGTCACACGGAATTACCACCAGATCACCTCATCCGATGTCCTGTGAGAACACACGCGTCTGCACAAACAGACTAAAAGAGTTTGAGCTCAAGCAGGTCTCCTGACTGCAGTGGCTGAGTTCAGTTTACGTTTTGCACGTCACAGAACAGCTTTGCCAAGATGCGGTTTCTGTTTTAATTCTCTGTTTGCCCATCCCACACTAGCTGTTAAATGAGCTGTCTCTGACATTTCTAGTCTCATTAGTTGGTTGGTCTATTCCTCTGGACAATTGAAACTAGTGGATTCGAGATTCTAACCCAAAGCAGTCGTAATGTAGCTCAACCTGTGATTTTCGACTATAGGGCTCCTGTCAAGGGTAAAGCAAGGCTTTGAAATCTGTGTCGTCCATTTGTCCCAAATCTATAACAAACACCACTCAACAATATCCACTGTTCCGTGCATGAGAAAACACACAAGTAAATATGGCATTGCCGGGTGTCGGGGACCTCACAGACGGAAGGGCGAAACAGACATAGGCACAGTTCAGTGTAAGAAAGGATGACACGTTTAGAGGCAAATGATTCGATGCATGCAAAGCATCTATATAACTGTGACAGTCCTGGCTTACATTTGGTTAAAATCTTTTGTCAAAGAAATGAGTCTCCTTCTTGGTTATCAGAGATGGGATGAGATGCATTATATTTAAGTTGGTAACGCTGTCGGAAAACGTAACACATTTTGTTTGAAGTATAAATATGGTGTTAGAATCGCTCCTAAGAGTAGATTTAGATAAAGCAGAGCAAGAGAGCAAAATAATTCATAACACATGCACATAATTTAAAGCTAGGGTCAGCAAGCATTCTCTGTGAAGGGCCATATAGTAACTATTTTAGGCTTCCCAGGCCCTACCCAGCCAAAGCCGCTATGCCAGCAAATGAGGGCGGCTCTATTCCAATAAAACTTTCTTTATGAGTACTGAAATTTGAATGTAATATCATTTTCGCAGGTCATAAAATGTTATTCTTCTTTTTAACTTTTTCCCCAACCAGTTGAAAATGTACAAACCACTCGTGGCTCTGAGGCTATGGAAACAACTTTGGCCCGCGGCAAGGGTTTGTGGAGCCCTGCTCTCAAAGCTCGTTTCTCAAAGTTTGGCAGACGGTCCAGCCACATCAGCAGCACCCAGGGGCTCGTTAGAAATGCAGAACCTCACGCCCCACCCCAGACCCACTGAAAGAGAATCTGCATCTTAAGAACACCCCTTTGTGTCTGCTTTGCACACCCGAGTTTGAGAAGCACTCATATAAGGTCTCTGCAGCTCTGAAGCCAGACTGGCCAATCCCAGTTCTAAAATATGACTTCCCAGACAGTTGACCCTGGGGAGGTTCTAAACTTCCCCATGCCTCAGTTTCCTCGTGCGCAAGGTGGAAATGACAGTATTGTCTCCCTCAGCAGGATTGTGAGAAGTACACACACACACACACACACACACACACACACACACACAGAGCTTAAACAGAATTCGTCATGACTATAACAAAATCTCACGTTATGTGACAGTTGACCCTTGAATCACATGGCTGTGAACTGCACGGGTACACTTATGCATGAGGTTTTTTTTCCAACAAATACAGGAAAGTGCTATCAATGTATTTTCTCTTCAATATGATTTTCTTCTTTTTCTTTTTCTGTTTTTTATTTTCTTTTAGAGACAGAGAAGGAGCATGAGTAGGGAAAGGGGCAGAGAGAGAGAGAATCTCAAGGAGGCCCCATGCTCAGAACAGAGTCTGACGTAGGGCTCCATCCCACAACCCTGGGATCATGACCTGAGCCAAAATCAAGAGTCAGATGCTCAACCAACTGAACCACCCAGGTGCCCCTAGTATGATTTTCTTCATAACACTTTCTTTTCTCTAGCTTCTTTATTGTAAAAATACAGCATATAATACATATACAAAGCAGGTGTTTCATTGCCATTTATGTTATTGGTAAGGCTTCTGTCAACAGCAGGCTATTACTAGTTAAGTTTGGGGTTACTCAAAAACTATATGTGGATTTTTGAGCATGTGGGGGGCTGGTACCCCTCACCCCCACATTGTTCAAGAGTCGACTGCGTTTTCACAGGCCACCATCTTAGTCAGGCATGGTTTACCCCATTTCACAGAGGAAACTGTGGCCCAGAGAATTGGAAACATTTGCCTCGGGTCACAAAACAGAGGTCTTTCAGGCTCCAGATTTGGTCCTGAGGCTAATGAAGGGTTCAAGGGTTAAAAAAAAAAAAAAAAAAAAAAGGCTGCCCTCCCCAGGCACCTGGGTCTTCATGTCCAGGGCTCCATTCAGACTCCCAGGAATCGCTTATAGCTCCCCAGACCCCTGCACCCCAGGTGTCCAGCTCTCCAGCTCGGCCACTCAGGGCTCTCCCTGACCGGGACCCCCAAGTCACCCTTCCATTCGTTGACATTTATCTTCCGATACGTTGCCTAGCGTTTTTTTTTACAACTTCTCTTTCTAGTTCTAGACTGTAAATTTTCTCTCTGCTGAATCTTGTAGCTGACTGACTGTTTTTCATTATATTTGTAGGGCTCGGGGAGGAAAAAAAAAAAAAAGAAAAAGCCAATCCCTTTATTTGAGAATCCTGACATTTATTAGCATAATAAAACTCTCAAGATGGAATTGCAGTTTTCCAGACAGTAATTTCATCTGCAGGACAACTTACGAGGAATTTATTTTAAGGCCAGGTAAAACCTAAAATATATGAGACATGCAGAAAGTGCGGGCCCCAAATAAAATGAAATAAATGTGTTAGGCATGGAAAACCCAGCTGTTGTCTCTCACATATTAATTAGGGGTGACAGAAACAACAGCTCAGGGGTTCAGGTTCTCAACCCTTGGTCTGCTTTTCAGAGCTGCCGCTAGTTCTCGGAATTAGAAGTTTCTTCTTACACCTTGAAAATCATCAACACCATATTCCCCTGACACATCGCTGCTGAGCCCGGAATAATTGCTGCTGTTAGCACGGTTGTTATGAGCAATGTCTTCCATTTAGATAAAGCTTTCCTATTGCTCATGTAGCTGACCCTCCAAAGAACCCAGTGACGGCCAGATAGAAAGCTCTCTTCTCAGTATACAGAGCTTTCATGAGGTTAAATGACTTGAGCAAAGTCACATAGTTTGTAAGTAGCTTGGCCAACACTAAAATTCGGTTCATCTGAGGCCACTGGGTTTCTCATAAAAGAAAATCTAACCATAATCGGTAATGGTTTTAAAGCACTTCCGCGTCCAGGAAGCAGGTTTCCGCCCTTCTCTTGGTTTTATTCATTCAGGGGCCCTGTGAGACAGCAGACGGGGGTCAGGTTGCAAAGCTGACATTACCGAACACTCAGCTCAGGAGCGCCATTCCGGGGGGAGCCGCAGAGGGAGGCGGGGAAGGAGGGCCACACCAGAGGGGGTGGGCTCATCTGGCCACCCCTTGGTTCCTTCATGACTCGTGGCTCAGTCTTGCAGGACTGTCTTCCCAGAGGTCGTAGGAAGAGTCGCCTGTCCAAACTGCCCCCCGGGAGGAGGAAGAGAGAACTAATCCACCAGCTGCCGTCTCCCATTGACCCAGGCTTCACCTCACAGGGAGTTAACTGCCCTACTCATGTTGTCCGGTGTCTACTGTGTCTGCAGCCACAGGGGATGAGAGGCCCAGAGCCCCACGTGGGGCAAGGAGGCACTGGCTCATCTCACATGAAGCTGCTGGGCCCAGTGAAGAAAAACAGTCTGCTCAGAACTAATTGCAGTGATGGTGACCGGGCTGTAAGAAGCAGCCAAGGATGTGAAGAGTAGGAGAGGCAAGAGGTGAAGTAGAGCGTAGGAGGTGTGTGATGTAAGAGATGCATAATGTAAGAGGGGTGTGATGTAAGAGATGTGTGATATGACCATCAAGTAATGTGAGCCCATCCACCAACAAGGCACACAGCCCATCCATCCTCCCGCCCCCACCAAATACAGGGCTGCTAGCAGGGTGGGCAGTTGAACACAAGTCTGCTTGATGCCACTATAATATTCCCCTCCCAGCATGCTGTCTCTATGCATATGTCCATAAACGTGGAACCGGAGTAGGCACAAAGACCCTGCCCCTGAGAGTTATCGAGGGGTCACCGGAAGAATCTTGTTGATATGAAAAACATACCCAGACTACGTGAATGTGAGGATCAAAATCAAAAGGACTGTAAAGGCAGAAGTAATCATTTGAATAACCCACACAAAGAGGGGTAAATCCCAGAGAGCAAAGGCTTTCTTGGATTTACAAGTCAACCCAGGTTTGGGGCACAGCTATGGGAGTACATGGAACCACTGCCTCAATATTATAAAACCAGGGTCAAGATATGCCTCTGAGACCAAGCAGGGGCGGCAAACAAAGAAGGCAGGGCAGTATCAGTCACCTGCTCTGGAAGCTGGGTCTCAGAAGCCATAGGTAATTCCAACGATAAAATCAATGAGGGCAATAACGTCCACCATTAAAGACGCAGCGGCCATATTTTCCATGTAAAATTTCCATGGAAATTTACATGCAACATTTCCTCTGTACCCATGACTTTATAAACAGAACGGGTAGGAAATGACTAGAAGTGACTGCAGATTTGTGTTGGAAAGCTTTCAGGAGAACAGCATTCATTCAAACAAACATTTACTGAAGGTCTACCATATGTTAAACTCAGAGTTCGGCACTGGAATTATTTTGGATTATGAAAACGTGGTCCGTGTGCTCTAGCAGCTCACTTTAGGGCAGCCACAGTAGACAGGCTTCATCTTCTGAAGTCATAACTAAACTCTTCGTGAAAGAGTTGCATCAGCTATTTGCAATTTCTGTCCTGGGCATCGGGACAGAGACTGATGGCACATATGCCATATATTTCATATCCCTTGAGGCTAAGTAATCTATATACCCCACTGGATAGTGATGGACCTTCCAGAAGGCCATAAGGAAGGATTTGAGCTGGGAAATTCTTAAGTTGAGTTCAAAAACTGGATGCCCAAAGAAGTCCGATTGATAAGGGGGGAAAAATCACTCAAACAACAGATGGTAGTCTGGTGGGCTGTCCCTCTGTCCACAGGGTTCCTGCAGTAGCTCTCCTCCTGACACAGTGATAATCTCCTCCTAAAAGGAAAAACAAAAAGGAAAGATCACTTATAATCAAGCAAGGGAAATAAGCATCCGCCAGAGAGAGATCAGTTCAAGATTGAAAGTCTATGGAGTGCCTGGGTGGCTCAGTTAGTTAAGCATCCAACTTCGGCTCATGGCATGATCTCACAGTTAGTGTGTTCGAGCCCCGTGTTGGGCTCTGTGCTGACAGCCATCCCAAAGCCTGGAGCCTGTTTCAGATTCTATATCTCCTTCTCTCTCTGACCCTCCCCTGCTCACGCTGTCTCTCTCTCTCTCTCTCTCAGAAATAAATAAAACATTCTAAAAAAACATAGAAAGTCAATGAATAGGTATCTGCCTTCCCCTCACTCAAATTTATAGAAATGACACGGGGGAAAGTCTGCTTTTATAAAGAAGTAAATCCCTACTGAGAAAACGGAGAGAAATCCAATATGGGAAAATAAGAAGGAAGGCCATCCACAAAGCTAAGTGTTCAAGAGTACTGAAAAAACAAAAGCCCTACAAAATGAGATTGTCAGAGGAGATAAAGTGAGGTGGGGGCTGGGGAACCCCAGATGGCAAAGGTCTTTGCCTCAGGCAGATCAGAAGCGGGGAAAGACCACTAAAGGTCCTACGCCCCCATGCCCAAAAGATGAGCTACTCACTGTCAACTCCAACCCTTACAGAGAATAGATTTGGGAAACAGGGATTGTTTCCACTTGTGGATAAACAGGAAATTCCAAGTCCGGACACCACCTCATAGCTCAAAATTTATAAATATTAAAGGGAAAATCACACCCATAAAATGGACACCCAAGAGAATATCAAGTTTATAAAACAAACTGAAAGCACCTTGAAGGGATGGGTATTCATCTCCTCGGGAGAATAAGAACATAAATCATCCATGAAATAAGAATGGGCTTTTATTTTTTCAAAATTAAAGAACCTGGAAATGAAAACAATGCCATTTAAATAAAAATTTCCATAGAAGACCTGAGGGGCAGAATGGACATAACTAAAGAGCAATTCCATTGCTGGAGGAACTGACACATCAGTAGGAAAGGAGACGTCCAAGTAGAAAATGGACAGAGGGTGGGGCGTGTGGGTGGCTCAGTTGCTTAAGCATTCAACTTCAGCTCAGGTCATGATCTCGCTGGTTTATGGGTTTGAGCCCCTCTTCCGGCTCTGTGCTGACAGCTCAGGGCCTAGGTTCTACTTTGGATTCTGTGTCTCCCTCCCTCTCTCTCTTTCTCTCTGCCCCTCTCTCTCTCATACCCTATCTCTCTCTCTCTCTCTAAAATAAATAAACATGAAAAAAAATTTTTTTAAATGGACAGAAGATAGGAATGGGCAATCCCCAGCAGAAATCCAACTGGCCATTAAACATATGAAAAGATCCTCTGTGTCAGGAGGAACCAGAGAAATGCAAGGTAATCAACAGGGAGATATGGCATCTGTCCATCAAATGGGAAAAAATTAAAATGACTGATAACCCCCAGGGCTGGCAGCAGTGTGGGGCAACAGTCTCATCTTGCTTTGGCAGAAGCATGAATTGGTGCTACATTTCTGGGGGGCAATCTGGCAGATCTTTTCAAAGTAAACTGCGCATGATCTATCCAGCAATCCTAGTACCAGGGATCCATCCTCCAGAAATCCTTGCGCATGCGCCCTAAGCGGCATAGACAAGCAAAGGTCTGCAGCACTGTTTGTGATCGTGGGAGCCTGGAAGTAAGTGGCCATCATGTGATGCTGCGGCCACGTACAAGGATGTGGTATGTGTACTAAATAGAACCGTTTCAGTAACAGCCACCGTCCTGATAACTTACAAGTGTCAGGTACACTGTTTTAGCACTTTACACAGTGTTCTCTGAATGGAACCTCCCAGTGACCCTAAGGGGGCAAATGCTATTTTGAAACCCATTTTACTATGGAGGAAACTAAAGTATCAAAACGTCAGAAGATGCCCACAATCACACACAGTAATGAAGGTGGGATTTAAAACTTATCCAGGGACCATGCTTTTAAAAAATACACAATATGATACATTGATTCTGTTTAAAAAAAAAAAAATCAAATTGCTGAGCTATTGGTAAAGAACTGTCCAGTTTGGGTAAAAATTAACAAAACTATGTATTTCCTTATGTACATGAATTTCTACGTTAATGTCCAGGAAATACCTGGATAGGTACGTGGCAAACTAATAATTCAAGGTGGAGGATGGAAGCGGAGATTTTAAATTTATTTCTGAGAGAGAAAGAGAGAGGGCACAAGTGAGCAGGGGAGAGGCAGAGAGAGAGGGAGACACAGAATCGGAAGCAGGTTCCAGGCTCCCAGCTGTCAGCACAGAGCCCAAAGTAGGGCTTAAACCCACTAACCATGAGATCATGATCTGAGCCGAAGCTGGATGCTTAACCGACTGAGCCACCCATGGGAAGTGGGGATTTTAAATGTACAAGGCACAGGGTGCCTGGGTGGCTCAGTCAGTTAAACGACAGACTTTGGCTTAGGTCACGATCTCATGGTTTGTGAGTTCGAGACCCACATCAGGCTCTGTGCTGATGGTGCAGATCCCGCTTGGGTTTCTCTCTCTCCCTCTCTCTCTCTGCCCCTACCCTGATTGCATGCTCTCTCTCTTTCTCAAAAATAAATAAATAAATAAATTTTAAAAATCTTTAAAGAACAAGGCTTTCACCTTGTATTGTATCTAATTTTTCTTAGAATGTAATCATAAATTAATGGTGTAATTAAAATTTTAATTTATATATGCTGGATATCAGATTTCCACATGGACATAGATGAGCTCTCCCGTTAGTGGAAGAAATGAAATTGAATTTGCAGTCTCAAGCCCTAGATTTGGAAGAGAATAAAGACCTTCAAAGACCTTCCAGCCTTCCTATGCAGGAACCACAGCATAGCATCTCTGAGAGATGGGCCTTTTCCCTTTGCTTAAACACTTCCAGGAACGAGTTCATCACTGCTCAAGGCAGCTTCTATGGGACAGGGGAAACCAAGCAGTGCGGTACAGAGGAAAAAGGCACAAGCCTTAGAGACAGATGGCTTCAGTATTAACTCCTGAACCTGGTGGTACCAGCCACGAAAACTTAGGGAAGATATCAAAGCTAACTGGCTTTGGTTTTCTGATCTGTGAGATGGGACTAATACGCCTCCCTCACAGAGCTGTCATGAAGATTAAGTGAGAACACGATGTACTGCAATAGGCACAATGCCTGATACAGAGCAGCTGCCGATCTCTCTCTTTCTCTCTCTCTCTCTGTCTCTCTTTCCTAGAGTTGTTAGAAGGCTCTTCCCACCACAGGTAGAAGTCTGCCTTCAACCTGGTTAGTCCAGTTTTCCAACATTACTCTCCACCCGGTGTCTAGGTATTTGTAAATGGGTGATTTTCTATGTACTTGACTTATAAGGTCAAGTCAAGAGCTGTCCCCCAGAGCCCTGGGGACCTCCATGAAGAAAAAACAATACAAATCCAAGAGTCCCTATTGCAGCAAAAACCCAGCGAGATGGTCCAGGGTGAAGCTTTGCACAGGGACAAAGCTCAGGGAGATGGTGAGCTACCACGACTCTGTCTCTCGGCCTGTCTTCCAGGTCATCGAGTTCCACCTTTGGCTTTCTCCCAGTCACCAGTTACCACTGTGCTAACAGCCACATGAACACAAAAGTTGCTTCTGTCTACAGAGGTTGTTTGGAAGGCAACGTCTTTCCCAGCGAGAGGTCCACAGCAGGGGAACAAATAACAAAAAAGGGGTTCTGGAAAACAAGAACCCCCATACCACTTCACAGTTACACAGTTCTGTTACGTACACTGCCTCATCTAATGGTCGTGGGGTCTGAACTAAGTATTATTTACATCCATTTGCCTGGTTAGGAAACGAAAGTTCAGTGAGGCTAAGGAACCTGTCCAAGGCCACACACGTACCAAGCGGTAAAGCTGTAGTTGGAACAAGAGACATGGGAACTCTACCAGAAGAGCTTCTCAAACTACGGGGCTGACAGCTAGGCTTCAGCTAACTCTACAGAGCTGCCAGAGACCTGCCTAGAATGTTCTCAGGCAGGACATCCTAGGGATGAGTTGGGGGTGAGATGCAGGCTTGGACAGAAGGTGGGTCAACTAGCTCCTAAGTGTTGACAGTAGGGAGCCCTCAGATACTCGAGATGAGAAGAGCTTAGGAACCGGGTACCCGTATCAGTCAGGGGGTAAGCCAGAGAGAACAGAGGGCCCCAGAGCCTGTCTAGACAACCTCTACTCTCTTCCACCCCAATGTTCCATGTCCCTGTGATCCTACAGACCGTCTGGGGCTGCCTGCCCCCTCTCCACCTCACCTCTTACAACACCTACAACCTGGCGTTCCTTCAGCTCAAGTTTCTACCAGTCCCGTCTCCTGACCGGCTCCCCCCCCCCCAACCCCAAGGGATACCTTGTGGAAATCAATGAGATCGGTGAGGGTCGCGTGGCGATTGGGGTCTACTCCCAGGAAGCTGTAAAAATCTGCAGAGGCATCGACGAGAAAGTGCTTGAACCCTTTCTGCAGGCGATAGGAGAGGGTGTAGCCCCAGATTTTCTCACTGACCCGGACCAAAAATGCTCCCTCCGTCATGTTCTCCAGGAGATCTTCTGCATCTTCTCGGCTAATAATCCCTGGTTTCAAAAAGAAAAAGAAAAGAAGTCTGTAGGTTCAGCAAACCTTTCCCCTGACTCTCTCCCCCACTCATCCCTGCCCCTCATTCTCCTTCAAGGGCATCAGGAAGGGGAGCTACAGGGGGCTCAGGCACTTGCCTCATTCCACAGGGGACTCATCTGGGCCCAGAACAAGCAGCTGTGAGCCTGGGGGCAGAATTTCTCCCAGGACCTCAGGTTAGCATACTTGCCTCCGAATTAAGCCACGCTAACTTGGATGTATTGGGTAAGCAAACAATGAACAGTGAGCCAGAATTATAGCATCCATCGATTACAAATAAGAGTCCTGCTCTGATGACAACACCGTGTGACTTACGACTATTAGCCCAATACCCTTCCTGCACCCGTTAATGAGCGCCTGAAAACAGTACGTGCTCTTAAGAAGAAAGAGGGCTTCCTCCATCCACCTGCGGACACCAGGCAAACAGCTCAAAGAACAAAATTTTCCCAGGTTCTACAGTTCTTCACAATGTGCTTTCACCACAGTGAAAGGAGGGAGAGCATCATCTCACCCCTTCCGACTGGGGAGGGAGCACACTGCTCTCCAGGGATCATGGGGACTTTCTGCCTCTGCCCATGACCAGGGCTGGCTAAGGGATGTGGCCTTACCATACGATGCTCCACGGACTCATTCTAGAATGATTGCTGGAGAATGCAACTGTAGATCCCTTCTGAGCCAATTCTCACCCGCCAAAAATGGGACATGTAGTGTTTCCTGAAACTTCTCTCCTTCCTCCCTTTAATAAGTATGTACTAAGCACTCTGTAGGAGCCAAGCCCCAAGCTCAGCACCTGGGAGTCAGCACTGAATGAGAAACAGTTCCTGCCTTCCAGAAGTTTTGACTCTGGACAGAAATAAAGATTGGAAGAATTTTTCTGTTTTTGCTTTCTTTTGTTTGGTTTTAAAGAAAGGTTGGGGGCGCCTTGGTGGATTAGTCCGTTAAGTGTCTGACTTCGGCTCAGGTCACGATCTCACCGTCCATGAGTTCGAGCCCCGCATCAGGCTCAACAGCTGACAGCTCAGAGCCAGGAGCCTGCTTTGGATTCTGTGTCTCCCTTTCTCTCTGCTCCTCCCCCATTCATGCTCTGTCTCTCTCTGTGTCTCAAAAATAAATTTTAAAAAAGTTAAAAAATTAAAAAAAGAAGAAAAAAAAAGAAAAGGCTCACCATAACCAGTGGTGATCAAGGCCACAGGCACTGTGAGAACTGGTTGCCTCCCCACTCAGCTCTGGCCCCAGGGGTAGAAGTAACATCTAGACTGAGACCAGAAGGGTTAAAACAGAGGCGTGAGGCAAGGATCTACTTTGCAAAAGAGGTTAGCTCACAGTTCTTCGTGGCAGGAAGGGAGCCCAAAGAGGCAGGAGGGGAGACCAACTTAGGAGATGGGCAGTGGCAACATACACAGAGATCAGCAGGGGCCAAGCTCCCATGCCCTCCCCCAACCATTAGAAGGATTCTAGACCTAATTCTGAGGGCAACGAGAAACTACTGGGGTTTCCGAAGCAGAAGATTATGAGAAAGTTCAGGAATGAAAAAATGGCTGTGGGGGGGGGGGGGGGTTATGAATTAGAGGCACACAAGCTAGAGATCTCAGTGCAATAAGGACTCCTTCATCTAAGCATTGCTTCAGAGCTACATTTCCACAGCGGCAGCCTTGGAATCCAGCTCCCAGACCACTGGTCTGCCAGAAATGGCTTCTATATTGAAGCTTGGGGGCAAAAAGACACATTGTGGGTTCCAGGAGAAGCTTCATTTCATGGCCAGCATGGGGCACCATCTGGGGCCTCAGTGGGCCTCATCTCCTTCAGTCTTCCTACCATCCCAATTATCATCAGTTCAAAACTCAGGACACTGAGGGTCAGCAAGAAAAGGGACTTACCCAAGGTCACAGAGCTATTACATGGTGGAGCCAGAACTTGACCTCAGGTCCTCAGACTCCAAGTCCAGTGCTCTTTGCTCTACACCATGTTCTCTCAGGCAGAGGGCAGTATGCGCTGTGAAAGACGCAAGAAGGAGACGAATGGGGCCTGCAGAAAAGTCAGGGCGGGCCTTAGAGAGGCAATGAAGGGGGGTGAGAAGCAGGCGTCAGAGGCTGGGTAGAGTCCATGGCAGTAAGCAGAGGTGGTGAGGTGAAAGGGGGGAAGGAGGGATAAAATGAGTGGAGAGTCACAGCAAAGACTAAGAAGAAAGAGTCCCGGCACATTTACATAAATGCAACCTAAGAGCCGCCTAATCGAAGTCTCAGGACCAGAAGAGACATGGCGGATGGACTGAAAGATCTAGCACATGTATGATCTGGATCCCCCAGAAGACCAGCGAGGAGAATGGAGTGGAGGCAATATTTAAGAGTGATTCATCACAGACACGTCACAGCGAAACTGCACAAACCCACTTAACATCTCGTTTTGTCAGCCAGAGAGAAAGGCCGATTGTCTACAAAGAATAAATAATTACACTGATGGTGAACTTCTCAGTTGCACAGTAGAAGCCAGAGGACAATGGGATAACATTTTCAGTGTGCTGAGAAAAAAAAAATAACAGCATTTAGTGAAACTATCTTTCAAGGAGGACAAAATAAAGACATCTTTGGGGTGGGGGGAGAGTTGAGAAAATTGACTATTAAGGATATTCTAAAGGATGTACTTCAGGTAGAAGAAATTGGATCCTGGACAGACCATCTGAGAGGCTGGAAGGCATGAGGAGCACAGATACTGCAGTAAGTGAAAAATACATATTAACTTCCAAAATAATTCAAATAATGGGTAAGTTGAGGGTTTAAAAATAGATAGAACTGTAATGCTGACAACATCTGATCAGCTGAGAGTAGAATCAATGGGCTTAAAAAAATCCATGTGTTTACAGATGTTGGCAAGGATGTGGAGAAGAAGAATCTCTTTTGCACTGCTGAGGGGATGGCAAACTGGTGCAGCCACTCTGGAAGACGGTATGGAGGTTCCTCAAAAAATTAAAAATAGAACTACCCTGTGACCCAGCAATTGCACTACTAGGTATTTATCCAAGGGATACAGGTGTGCTGATTGAAAGGGACACAGGCACCCAATGTGTACAGCAGCACTACCCACAGTAGCCAAAGTATGGAACGAGCCCAAATGTCCACTGACGGATGAATGGATAAAGAAGATGTGGTGTATATATATACAATGGAGTATTACTCAGCAATCAAAAGGAATGAAATCTTGCCATTTGCAACTATGTGGATGGAACTTGAGGGTATTATGTTAAGTGAAATTAGTCAGTCAGAGAAAGACAAATATCATATGACTTCACTCATATGAGAAATTTAAGATACAGAACATGAACATAAGGGAAGGGAAGCAAAAATAATATAAAAACAGGGAGGGGGACAAAACATAAGAGACTTAAATATAGAGAACAAACAGGGTTACTGGAGGGATTGTGGGAGGGGGGATGGGCTAAATGGGTAAGGGGCACTAAGGACTCTACTCCTGAAATCACTGTTGCACTATATGCTAACTAACTTGGATGTAAATTAAAAAATAAATAAAATGTTACTTAAAAAAATCCATGGGGCGCCTGGGTGGCTCAGTCAGTTAAGCGTCCGACTTTGGCTCAGGTCATGATCTCGCGGTTTGTGGGTTCGAGCCCCGCGTCAGGCTCTGTGCTGACTGCCAGCTCAGAGCCTGGAGCCAGTTTCAGATTCTGTGTCTCGCTCCCTCTCTGACCCTCCCCTGTTCACGCTGTCTCTCTCAGAAATAAATAAAACATTAAAAATTTTTTTAAAAAAATCCATGTGTTTAAGGGGTGCCTGGCTGGCGACTCCCGATCTTGGGGTCATGAATTCAAGCCCCATGTTGAGCGTACAGATTATCTTAATAAATAAAACTTCAAAAAAGAATAAAAAATAAAAATAGAGGCACCTGGGTGGCTCAGTCAGTTAAGCTTCCAACTCTTGATTTCAACTCAGGTCATGATCACACAGTTCATGAGATCGAGCCCCAAGTCAGGCTCTGCACTGACAGCACGGAACCCGCTTGGGATTCTCTCTCTCCCTTTCTCTGTGCCCCTCCCTCACTCACGCTCTCTCTCGTGTGTGCTCGTTCTCTCAAAATAGATAAACATTAAAAATATATAAAAATAAATTAAAACTCTGTGTGTTTAGGAAGAGGGTAAAGATATACATCCACTTTACAATATGTGAAATATGCATGTTAAATCTTCTAAACTAACCACTAAAAAACAAGCACCAAACAACAGAGGTGGAAAAATACAATGAGAAAAAATTTTTTTCAACGAAGCATGAAACAAGCTAATAACTAAAAAATAACTACACTTTAGTTCCATTTATATTAAATTGAAAAGCTCACAAAACTAAACACTACAGCGTTCGCAGATTAACATATAAACAAGAAATGAGGCAAAGAACCGATGGAGAAAATATTCAGGAGACGGATCACGTCCCGTGGAGGGACCAGAGCTGCCCTGGGGAGGAGCACACAGGTACTTCCAGGATTGGCCGCTTCTCCACTGCTGAAGCTTCCTTCATGCCCTTCACCCCCGCATGTGCACACACCATGTGTATTCAACATTTGATATTTTAAGTATTTAAATATCACTTATCTGCACTCCCCCCCCCCCCCCCCCCCCCCCCCCCCCCCACACACATTATGCTATGCCATTCACTCAAAGTCGGTCAATGTCCTTTGAGGGATGAGGAGGTTATCACCCAGGAAGAAAAGTATCACTAATGAGCTTTAAATGTCAGTGTTGGCTGTTTTGAGTCTCTAGCACATGGTTCTCTGCCCTGGTCCGCTCTGACCAAGTCTCATGTCATTCATTTTGGGTACAACAAGCATCATTCATGTTGACAACCTTCCCGGGTAATCCATATATGCAGCCAGGTTTGAGACTCACTGAGCTAGAGTGTAAACAGTCTTGCAAGCCAGGATTGGCAAAGATGTAAAAAGTGACTCTTACATTCTA